ATACAATTAAGACAGAAGATTATTCATTAAGACTTAAGTGCAGAACTGAATTCACCTCTTTCGTACTTATCGTCGAGTACGTGCATGCTGAAGACATATGATTGTATCCATGGCTTCTAATGATTAAAAACAAAAAGGGAAATGAATACCTTCCTAGTTTTGGCATTGTCATAAAATGTATAAATATACTAGATACTTTCAAATAATCAGGAAACAATATAATGTCTCTATTGTATTTATAACCCATGCGTGTGTGTGGGTGAAAAATAATTTAATTCGGATTACTATGGGTAACTAAATATTTATATAGAATGTATCGAATTGACTCACTTTAAATATATTCTCTTGTATGACGTATTCAAAAAGCAAATGGTGCAACTTACGTTGAAATAGAATTTGCAACAAATAATTATTTTCTACACTTTTATTTTAATGAAAAAAAAAGAAAGAGAAAAAAAATGACGAATATTTTTCTTTTTCTCTTCTAAACCACTCCAACCAGAAGATGAATCCTAAAATTTTAAACCCAATTTCATTACAAAAAAAAAAGTCATGACAAGTCCCACATATTTCTTTAATTATCATGAATGTAACTATAACAATATCTTTTGTTTCTATTCAACGATAAAATTTCATTAATTTTAACTGTTAGTTTTCCTTTTTGTTCATGTATTTCAATCAAAAACCTTTCATTAACAGTTCATTCACAAAAAGAGATGCCTTTCTTTTATATAGAAAAAAAAACCTATTAATACATATATGAAAGTGTCCTAGTGACATAGTTAATTATTTTAATTCTAGTACTATTAAAAAAAGGATTATATATATATATCTATCTATTATTAAAGAAATATTTTTAGTTTTCTTAATATAACTTACCTATTTATTTATAATGAATATGTCGGAGTGAATGGATAGGTATCATCTTAAACATTATTTACTATATACTTGCAGCTATTAATATAATAGTCAGGTATATTTTATGATGCTTTGTCTGACCAGTTAACTATTTATTTATAGACTACTTACCCAAGTGAATAGATATTTAACTGACAGCAATATACAATATATATATTTATTTATAGCTATTTAAATAAGCATCAGTCATCATTTATTATATATAAATATGTCTGTATGAATTGGTATTTAATCATCTATAGAATTTCAGATTATTTACCAAATATTGCCACATATTTTTGTAATGAATGTGCCTATAAGAAATTTCATATATTTGTTATTTCTAAACGTTTTTTTTTTTGCATTTTATTTTTGAAGAACGATAGAAGTCCAATATGAAAAACAACGCATAAAATATAAGTAACATTGTGTTGTTTAATCGTAGCACAAAATTTTTTTTTCTCTGTACACATTTGACTTAGAAGAACGAGAAACAAGGAACAAACAAAAAAACAAAAAACTCGATACACACTTTCACAAGAATGTGTGAAATAATTCGATGAATCAAATCGATTGTTCAGTATTATTATCCGTTACATTTGGCATGACAACATGAACATCAATACGATCGAGACCTGTTGTTTCATCGGTATTATGAACAAATAATAAATGACTACCATCAATACCACCAAGAAGATTTTCTAATTCAGCTATATTCGTTAGAGAATTCTAAAGAAGCAAAAAAAAGAAACATTTAGCTGAAATGATTAAAAGGAATTTTTTATTACTTACATCAACAGTATCTTCATCATTCTGAGTTGATGGAATACTAAATAAAGGGGAAAATGAAAAAGATAAATATGATTATGCTGTATTTAAATTGTAAGATTTCTAGAGAAATTATAGAACTATCGAGTAGATCAGATTAAGTAAGTGTTTCCTGTTTTCATCGGATCGATTTAAGCATTAAAAAAAAGAACCGTTGTGTGCTTCACAACAAGAGACTGTATAAACTGCTCTTTCTAAAGGAAAATATGATGATGGAGTTATAGAAGTAGAAGTAAAGACGTCAAAAAATGTTAAGTTTCATAGGCAAACTTACTGAACTAGCTCAAGCATTTCTTATCAGTATGGCGTAGTTTAGTTTTTCAGTTTGGTGATTTTCGAGTACTATGAAGTATGCTCTTTCTGATGCATTAGGGAGAAACTACCTTCGAGTAAAATTCATGACAAAATCAAGTTTTCTTCAAAGTGTTAGTAATCGTGATAATTTCCGTTTTGACTCGATCGAACTCAGAGTACGATACAATATACGATACAGGACGGTGTCAAGGACATGATCATTCGGTAGTTGAGACCACAAGATTCAAATTTTAACTTATGAGTGTAAAAAGAATTGAAAGGTTAATTTTTGTTGATAATCGAGCAGCGACTTTTATAAAGGATTATTATGAAAACAAAAAATACTTATTTAATCTCGCCCACCCGATATAAATATTAAATTTCATTTCTTTTTTATTAACAATAACCAACCATGCATAGCTAATAGATGTTTTTTTTATATAATAATATCAAAGTACTTTTACAGAAACTCTTACTAATAGTACAACAATATGCAAAGATTTTTACATTCTTAAATAAGAACTTGTTGAATATATCATTAAAATACATTTTTGTACTTCTTAACTTAACATACATTGAATTCAAGTGTTTAATTTTGATTATTTTCAAATAATTGATAAAAGGAAATAAAAACAAGAGATTCCTCGATTGACTACAATAAATCTACATATAATAAAATATGTAGTTTATAAACTAAAAGATTAAATCTCCAAAAATTTACTCAAATTTATTCACTATTTTCTCATTAAAATATAATCAAATTTCTTTTTCTCTTACATTTGTTCTGCTTTTGATGTCATAACTTCGACTGTATCAGCTACATCCATTGAATTATCATCTTCATTATTCTCATCATCATCGTCATCGTCATCATTAATAAATTCAACACTTTTCTTTACACGTGTACTGTTCTTTTCTATTATAAAGATCAAAATAATAAACTAATATTTAAAAAAAAGAAGAAATGATGTCTTACTTGCTTGTAGACGTTTTTCTCTTCGTCGATTTATTTCAAGTGGATCAGATGATGATGCTACTTGTTTTGATTTACGTTTAATTAATCGCTTTTTTTTTGGTTTTTTTTGTGTTACATTTTCTGCATCACTACCATTTTCATCATCTGATGATTCTTCTGATGGTGAATAAAAACATGTTAGATCAAATGGAATACGTTGACCTAAAACACAAAAAATAATACAAACAAAAACAAATATTTTATTAGACTTTTACTAAGTGCTGAATCAATTAAAGTTCGATTAGCTTTATCTTCGGTTTTAAATTTTCTTTTTATATCATCTCGATTACGATTTGGAAATACACGTGAAATTAATGTAAAATCAGTTCCACACATACGAAGTGCTTGATAAAAACGTAGTGTGTCTAAAAAACGTTTTCGAAATAAATTATTATTTTAAATAGGAAAATAAAACTCACCTCGATTATTCCATCGTTTTCTTCGGCCAATTTTTCGATAACTTTGATGTGTTAAATTATCATCATTAAATTGTCCTTCAACAATAACTGTATTTCTTGGTGTATCATCCGTATTTCGAATATATAAACTAAATCAAATATATATTCTTTTATTTTTTATATGAATATTGTTAAATAAAACAAACCTTTCTTCATCAACAACTAATGCTCCATTCGCATCAATTTTTAATTGTGGTGCTACACTAGAATTTTGTCCATCTGTACTCGATATACTATGTTTACGAACAGGATCAGTCGTAATATCTGCAATTGCCGTTTTGATTTTAATGCTAAATACAAAGAAAAGAAGGTAAGATGCAAAAAGATTTGAAATAATAAATTATATACTCCATAGGATTATCAGCTGGGTTATAATGAACGAAATCAGCTATTTTTAATTTTGATGTATCAACTGGTTGACCTTTATTAAAACCAGTTTCATCAAGTTTTTCAAGTGTTGCTGCTCGACGTTTTCGTATAGTCTAGAAAAACAAAAATTAGAAATAAAAAACATAATTGAAATTGAAAAATCTACCATATCAGGTTCGATTTTTGAAGCAAGTCGTTGTGCACGATAATTTATATGTTGACTAATATATTCCCGACTTATTTTAGTATTATTCATTCGAGTTGGTAATGATGATATTGAAATATTATGATTATTATTATCTATAGGTTGAGTATGCATTTCGGAGATTTCTGTCGTCATCATTTCAGCTTTTGTTGGCGTTGTTATATCACCATTTATTGGAACATCTGACATTGTATTTAATTGTGTTTCATTTGAAATATTTGGTCTAGAAAAGAATATTTAATAGAAAAAATAAGAACGAAATTGAAACGATTTGAAACTGACTTAGTTATTGGTTGAGGTATTCGTCCGAATGTAATGGATGATGCTGTTGAATGTTTTTGACGTGAAGATTCACTTTCACTTTCTGTACCTGAACAACTAGCTGATGGTCTATAAACGAATGAGTTTTTTTAGTAAAAAAATTGAATAATCTTGAAAAATAATTTACCTTCGATGATGAATCGCTGTTTTCACACCAATATTAGGTGCTATAATTTTTCTTCGAAATAATGGTCTTGTTGGTGGAATTGAAACTGGAGGAGGTGGAGAAGACGGAGGAACTAGAAGAGGAGTAGATACAAGTGGTGGATCCATTGGAAGTGGATCAGATACAGTTGGTGGATCCATTGGAAGAAGTTCAGATACAGGTGGTGGAACCACTGGAAGAGGGTCAGATTGCGGTGGTGGGGGTGGAGGTGGTAATAGCAATGGTGGTTCAATGATTTCTTCAACATTTGGTATGGGTTCTAAAATGAAACGATGTTTAATCTACATATTAAAATCTTGCTTTGAATTATACCTGTAATAGTTGGGGATATTGTTGGAACATCAATTTGTTGTTCTTGTGATTCAACTGGTACCGATTCATTTGATGTTTCTTGTGATTGTAAAGAATTGCTTACTGGACGTGTTGCTTGTACATTAGGTTTAATGTTAACACGAGGTCGACGAAAAACCATGATATATCTATATATATTAAACAAATTTCACATACGATTCATAAATAATCTTTATATTTAATTCTATTCAAGAATAAGATAAGATTCGAAATTTTCTCTTATAAAAAAATTCTTCTTTCAAAGATTTCTATTTAAATTAGTCAATAAACTAAATGATTTCATCAGAAGTTTATATTGTTTTGTAATAAAATGGCTACAATATATTTCATATTTTTCTATTGGTTAAAAATTTCCACCAATCAAATCATCGATATACAAATGAAGTTTTATATCATGAAGTTTCTTTGGTAACCAATTATTTTTAAAATGATTATACAACAACTTCTATGGATTTATTGTCAAATTAGATTTGCACAATATCTACTTCAAGTCAGTTAAAAGAAAAAACCGAAATAAAAATTTTGCTAAATATTTTTTTCTCTTCAGTTTATTTCAAATATTATCATACCTGACCATGATGCACATGTATTCAACCCACCGTTATGGTCCTTGAATAATGGAACAATTCTCGATATTTCTATTGATACATTCTTCTCAGGTTTACGTCGTTGGGATGCAATACACTTTCTTTATATAGCTAGATTTGGTTACATCTATGAAAATACCTTAGCATTTTTTCCTGGTTATCCATTATTATTTATTCGTCCATTAGCTTATTTTTTAAATAAAATCCTTCTCGAATCAAATGCATACTTATTAAGTGGAATATTAATCAATTTCGTTTTTGGATATTTCAATACGTGTCTATTATATCAATTAGGTTTAAAATATAATTTAAAACCTAATCATGCATATTGGTCCGCAATACTTTATATGATTAATCCCGCTACAATATTTTTTCTTGCACCGTATACTGAAACATTATTTTTATTTAGTCAATTATTAGGACATTATTATTTAAAATCGAATTCGATATTTAAATCCTGTCTTTGTTTTGGATTTGGTTCAACAGTACGTTCCAATGGTATTATTTCATTTGGTTTTATTATTTATAATTATTTAAAACAGAAAAAATTACCTCCGATTTATTCGATTATTTTATGTATCGCACCATTTTTTCTAACACAATATTATCAATATAGAGATTATTGTTTTGAAAAAGATCTATCGATTGAATTGAAAACATATGGATTTGATAATAATTTATCAATGCCATTAACAGATTTTTCATCAGAATGGTGTTTAAAACGAATCCCATTATCATATCAATATGTTCAAAAAACTTATTGGAATGTTGGATTTTTAAAATATTATACAATAAAACAAATACCAAATTTTCTCTTAGCTCTACCTGTATTTCTATTAATTGGTAATTTTATAAAAACATGGTTTTTATCAATACGAAAAGATCTATGGAAAAGAAAATTTAATTATCTTTTTTTAAATAAAAATGATGAAAAACAAACGATATGGTTTATTACAAAAGATTTTTTTCCACATGTAATTTATATGTTATTTTTAAGTTTATTTGCATTATTTGTTATGCATATACAAGTTACAACACGTTTTCTTTTTTCAAGTGGACCATTTTTATATTTTATTTGTGCTGATAGAATCAAACAATATGAGATAAGAAATGGAAATCTTAGAAAAATTTTTTCTTATTTATTTAACAAACAAACATTTCTTTTTTATTATTTTATTATTTATATTCTTGTTGGTATTTGTCTTTTTTCAAATTTTTTACCTTGGACATAAAAATCAAGAAGAAAAACGATCTATTATTATTCTAGATTAAATCAATGAGTCGAAATTTATTATCAAATGGTCGACGTCGAGATGATCTGGATGATTATTGGTTTGAAAAAATTCCTATCGATACAAAGGTAATAAAATTGATTTATCATTAGGGAAAAATTGCAGACGAAACTTTAACCTTGGAATAGTAAATTTTTAAAATTAAGCGGTTTTTCTATAGCTTAAGGCTCTTTTTTGTCGGTTAAGGACTGAAATATTTAAATGTACTTAAAGATCTTTTATAGTCAAAATACTGTCTGTCGATTATTGTAAGTGCTTTGCCAGAGGCTAAAAATTTAGTGTAAACATTATAAATTGACTTAAATAGATGGCTGTAGGCTCGAATATTTTTAGATTTCAATGAATGACATTGAAACTTACTTCGAAACAAAAATCATTTCGAGATCTGAAAATTACTTTGGATAATTCTCTTATTAGATTTTTATTACTGCTGATAATAATGTATGTAGAAAATAGAATACTTAGTTTTTTAAATAAGTCTTTTTTAGTCAAGTGATTATTTCAGATATATATATATTTGAATAGCAGTACAACATAGATATCGATATTAACTCTAGTAGTACCAACAGGGGTCATTTTTGACCTCATACCGTCAAATTTCCATATAATGAGGATATTTTATTCTCTCGGATATTTTAAAAACGCCATGTGGGATGAGTATGCAGAGAGTGTTAGATGCCCTTAAAACTTGAAAACAGGCCTGGTGCTACTAGGGTTAAAGATTACTAGATGTATTAGATATGTACATAAAGAAAACTTTGTGCGATGATTTCATTTAACAATTTAACTGAAGAAGCACGATCGCACATAAATGTACTCTGAAGGTCACAGTTACTTCATATAACTCGATACTTTTTTTTAAACGTAAAAATCACTGAAAATTCCTTTTTCGTATAGAAATCAATTATATTACACGTCACTATGATAGAAGAATAGTTAGTAGAATAGAATAGTTATCATTCATTAGTTCATATATAGCAGCTAAAGATAAAACAATCGATTCCTTTGAGGACCGGTGACACATATATTCGCCGCTCGTCTTGATATAGTTGAGATCTCTGTCTTATTCTGCTGTGAACTTCCACAAACACTTCTGATGCATCTCAAAAGTTTAAATAAATTTTCCCTTTGGCTATGCTGGTTCTAAAAATAATCCAGTCCTCTAAGGATTAATTCAATAGTCTAAAACGATAGAAATATTCGAAATAAAAATTCTTTATTTTATTAAGACTGCTGAAGAAATTCGTGAACATACAATTCCTGAAGATCTTCCACCAATTGCAAAAACAATGGCAATGCTTGAGTATGATAATTATTCTTCTTCTCTGTAATAGATTCTATTCACTATTTTCTTTTTTTTCATATAGTTCTCGTTCTGATATTCAACGTCTTGCTGGTATTCGTTCACTTTCATCTGTAATTGTATCTGATCGTGATAAAACTCTTCATCAAATATTACCGAAATTTCAGGTATTTTAATAATTTTATTTTCAAAAATAAACTATATAATATTCAGGCAATTATTGAACAAGCACTTGATAATGACGAACATATCGTTGCAGCGGAAACAATTACTTCTATGATACAACAACAATTATTACCTTATTCCGAATTTATGTCATTATTTTCTCAAATGATTTGTGGATTTATATTTCCAACCACTATCAATCGTTTTTCAATAGGTTAGAAAAAATAAATAAAATTATTTAATTCTGAATTTATCTAAAACAGATTTTGGTGCTATATGGTGTCAAGCATTATGCAATATGATAGATGCCTTTCCAACTACAACATCATTTATTTCGGTTTGAATAATTATATATTAATCTTTTGAAAACTTGTATATTATAGTTACTTGATTTAATCTTCACTCGGATTTTACATGGTTCATATGTTCGAGATCGATTAGCAATAGTTTTAGCGAAACTATCATGTCGATTGCAATCATCAATGTATAGAAGAATAAATATTTAGTTGACAAAAAAATCTAATTTATTCTTATTTTCTTTCGTCTATAGTGTTGAAAATCGCCTATTACCTGTATTTAAAAATTTTATTAATGATACAAATGCTGATATTCGTACACTTGCCTGTCAGAAATTACCTATTATTGCACAATCATTAGAGTAAGATATACGAAATTTAGCAATAAGATAAAAAAATTCTAATATTATATTTAGGTCTGATAAAGTCCCAACTATGATATTACCATTACTTGTGATATTATCTAAAGATGAAAATTTAACAGTACGTCAAACATGTTTTGAATCATTACTTGATCTTCGTACTTATTTCAATGATTCAAAATTAATTGAACAAGTCAGTGAAATTATTATTTCTCTTGTGAAATTTGGTTTATCATCAAGAACATCAAAATTTATTTCTATTATTGCTTTACGTTTGTCTGATTTATGCCATGCATTTACTAGTAAGAATTCGTACATATTGAAATCTATAGTTTTTCTATTGTTTTTGTATTATTAAGTTTTCCATATCGATGAATATAAATTTATCTATGAAATGTTTCTACGATTAAGTCAAGAAAAAGTACGCAACATAAAAGAGTTTATCTAGTTAATTCTCGTTTCAATTACTTTTAGACTATTCCAGAATGTCGATTAGCATCTGCAAAACATTTTTCGGTAAGAAATATATTTGACACAAAAATAAAAATCATCGATTGCTCTTAATTATTCTAGTCAGTTATTGATTATCTTGGTAATGATGGATTTACAAATGAATTAGAAGAGATATTTTCTCAATTATGTAATGATAATGATACAAAAATTCGTTCAATTATGTTACCAACAATAACTAATGTAAGTAAAATAAAACAGAATTCTTTCGGGGTTTTCTTTTTCAATATTGCTTCTATAGGATTTATTTTTAGCTTGCAAAATTATATAATAATAATAATAATGAAAAAAAATATTTATTAATTATATGGAATGGTTTTTTAACTTTATTAAATAATACAAATCATGATGTTATGTTGGCTATAGCAGCAAATTTATTAAATATTATTATGGCGTTTTCAAGAGATAAAACTGAAGGTTTTCTAAATGGAGCAATTTGTTCACTATCAGCAGTAAGAAAAAAGAAGCAATTATTTCGATTAATACTAACCTTACTTTTTTGTAAAAATAAGCCATCAGTGTTTTAGCTAGTGAATGGGCGGCGCCCACCCAAAAAACGAAACGTAGACAAAGTCCAGAGGGGAAACAGCGCACTTCAAGATTTTTAAGACTTCAACAAGCGAGACTTCATTTTTTCGAAAGACTTCAAAAGATTTCAGAAGACTTCGATAGGCTTCAAAAGGTTTCAAAGACTTCTAGAGACTTCATAAGACTACAAGAGACTTCAGGCATGAAGTCTCTGTTGTTTCTCTCTCGTCTCCCCGTGAAATAAATGCGTCTATAGAAATTCCAGAAGATTTCATGAGATTTCATAAGACTTTATAAGACTTCAAAAGACTTCGTAAGACTTCAGGCATGAAGTCTCTGTTATGTACCCCTTGGAATAATATGTTTATTTTTTACATGGGGAATATGAATCCGTATAACGTCTCTTTAGCTTTAAAAGGGTCAATTTAAGTGAGTTCCAAATTTGAAGTTTCCGAGTTTCAAGTTTTTCGACAAATTATACCTTGTAACTGTGTGCTTTTTTTCCTCGAGCATCACCAGTCGACTCAGTACAGTCCAGAGTATCTATTGGAGCAATCACAAACAGATGATTATAGTTTTCAGGTAGAGCTTTTCGCGAAAACTCTGTGTCGTGTTTGACAATAGTTTACTGAAGATGGCGATGAGATTTAAATTTGTTATCTGTTAACCAAATTGATCGAATGTAATATTAGTGTTTTGATTATGAAATAGATAAGAATTAATCTGATATTTTTAATCTAGATTTCTGATCCGGAAACATTTGTAACTCATCTATTGGAATATGAACGACGAATATTTGAAAATACTCTTTCATGGCGTTCATATATATTATGTCTACAAGCATTTGTTTATTTACCTAATTTATTATCAAGTGAATTAATTCAAACAAAAATATTACCACGTGTTTTTTCACGTATATTTACTGTAAGAGAAAAACAAATAAATATTTGTAATACTTTCATTTTTTTCTTATAGAAACAAGTTTGTGTACGTGAAATAGCTGTTGATAGTTATGTCCAATTATTACGAAAAATTCCACGTCGTACCATAAGAAAAAATGCCTTTCAAAAACTTAAAACAGATCTTTTATTTAATAATTCTTATCAATGGCGTATTATGTATATAAAAGTTTGTCGACAAATTCTTGTTCATTATTCTAAACGATTTTTTAAAGAAAATTTTCTTGATACAATACTTTCAATTGGATATGATCCCGTTTTAAGTGTTCGTTTAATCTCATATTTCATATATCTTTGAGAAAAATGTTTTTATTTCAGGTTCGAATACAATTCGTTCCATTACTTATTGAAATCAAATCTATTCTTCGTTTACCAGCTGATCATCAATCAATATCAAAAATCGAAACAATGATGGAATATTTTCTTGCATCAAAAACAATTACATTACATGATCTTGCAAATAATGGTCTCTTACAATTAGATCAAATACGATCATATAACACATTAACAATCTTATCAAATGATGAAAATTATAATAATGATCAAATAAAAGAAAATGAAGAAGATCTTCTCGATGAAATTGATTCTTCATCACGTCGTTCATCAACGAAATCTACTGATCAACATATTATATCCAAACGTTTAACAGATACAACAATATCAACTAAACCAATAACATCATTAAAAAGTCCTCGATTATCAAAAATTTCTTCTGATGATAATTATCGTAAAACGTCATTAACAAAACAACGACGACGACAATCACTTGTTGATAGTACATCATCACGTTTAACACATCAGACCACAATAAAGAAAAATCTTAAATGTATGAAAAAAAAATCTAATATTTATTTTCACACATTTTTGTGTTTTAGAAAAGAAAAAAGGCGAAGGATAATTGACATCGTTTCGTGCAATATAATATCATCAATGATCATTAGAATTGCCACACAAAACATGAACAAAAAAAGAAGAAAAAACCCTAGTTCCTGTTTCTTTCTTTTTTTTATATTATTGATTTTATGTCAAATTTTTATTAGCAATAAAAATAATTTGAATGACAATGTTGTGAAAATATTAAAAAAATTAATTAGTTTGAAAATGAATGTGCCAGAGAAATGTTCTTTTTTTTGTTGTAGTTTTCTTTTTTTTTCTTTTGTTTTTTTTTCTCTATGTTTCAGGACTTATAAGAATATCTTGTGAAAAAAAAGAAGCAAAGCGTTTTGAAAAATGATATGACTATCGTTTTATGTGTGATGTCATTAGTTTATTATATATATGAGCGATGCCTTTCTACCTGAGTGACTTCTTTTTTTTTCTTCTTCAGTAAATGCATCATTTGATTGCATGATCACTTGTTCGTTTGATGATTATTAACACTGACACCTTTCTTTTTAATTTCTTTTTAACATTGATCATGACGATCTAGGAAAAATAAATAAGTGAACATATATAGATACATGAATGACTATAGTTATCTGACGTCAATGGTTACTAATATTATTACTATTGTATTTGCGAACAAAAAAAAATCCAAAATAATGATAGAAGAAATGATAATGACGCAGGTAAGGCCATTTGACACACATTGTATTTAATGTATATTAGCTAGTAAAATTATTACTGCAGGATATTCTTAATTACTTATTATTGTATACAGAAAAAATCTGTACACATTTCAGTTATAAAAAGAAGAAATCACAAGTCAATTGGTACACTCTATGTTAAATTAATTCAAAAAATGGAACCCGTCGCACGTCGTTTTAGTATATATTTAAACCCAAAACCGTATGGTAAGTATATTATATTACTTTATCAAAAAGTCAAGATCGATCTAAATTATAAGATATTAAATTAAATATTCAACGATATTTTACATTGTAAAAGAAAAACTTATTATTATTTGTTAGTTTTTTATTTTTATTAAAAAAACACTCCCATATATAGAAAAAAATGCCAAAAATTAAATGTAATTGACAACCTATCATCATTTTACATGACCTTCACGAGTAAATTTTGTCGTCACGATAATTATACAAATTATCAAATTACAAATATTCTTTTGAATAAAAAATAAAATGAATATTTACAAGGAAAGTATCGTATATATATTTGTTCCATTTCTGATGTCTCTTTCTCTTTTTACAGAAGATCTATTGAATTATGTTTATTTTCTATTATATTTTTAAATAATAGTATTCCTTTTAAAAGTACATCTCAGTATTTCTAGGACACAAAAAAAAATAATATCACTTTCTCGGAACTATTAAAAAATGTTTATGACGTGTTTCATTATATGATAGATTGTAATGACTTATGCGGTGTACTATTGTTTTGTACTTAGACGTTGTTGATCGATTTATATAAATCATTAACCTTGTAAAATTGTTTGGTTCGTTATTTTCTTTTTATAATAACGAAAAGATCAATGTAGAAAAATTATTTATTTGTCTAAAAGCTAGTCTTTGTAAATTAATATATATGTGAGTTGATGTGTTAGATTATAAACATTCGACTAGAAAGTAAATGTTTAGTAGATAAGAAAAATGTCGATAATAATTTAAATTCAATGTCGAAAGACAAAGCCGAACTTTGAAAAATAAAGAAATAAATAACGTAAATGAATCTAAGGGAAAAGGACACCTTTTGACGTTTTTGTACGATAACACATTTGATTAAGAGGTTTCCTTTATGTGTATATATAGACCTTAAGATCATTTCATATTTTCATTTCGATTAACTTAAGCATAAAAAAAAGAGGAGAAGAATTCGTTGATTCTTGATTTTTTCTCTTTTTTTGTTGATCGATATATAAAATATATATTTATATATAATGAAGTAAGTATATTGCAATCATCATATTGCTTTTCTTTTTATAGACTTCCATATATTCAGGTAAAGTGCATTTGAAAATTCTATTATAGATGACTGAGTTGATCGTATAAGAAAAAAAGGATTAGAAAAAAAATATTTTTTCGAATTTTTTTTAAGTATAAAAGCTTAGAATATATTTATGTAGATTATTTATTTGAAAAATAAAATATTGATCATAAGATGAATCTACTTTTTTTTTTACTTTAGACGGAACAAGCCGGCGTCACTCGGACACGGACACAATGATGCGACAACTTCACCATACCGATACGGGACAGGTAAGGTAAGTTTCTAAAAAGAATATAATTGAAATTCAATTCTTAACTCGTATATATACAGTGGTTTGCAAAAAAGACTTGGAACAAATCGTCAGTCTGTAATAAACGTTAGTTCATCTGTTTTCATGAAAATGATGAGTTCACATTGTTCATGTCATCTTGTAACAAGCTCTATCAATAGGAAGTGGTATCTTTGTATATCGGCGAATATTTCTGAGAGGATGAGTTCGTATTTTTGTAGAATTTAATATTCGAGTCACGTTCTTATCTTCATCAGACTATCATTATACTACGATCGAGTAGAACCCAATCGAATATATAAGTATTTTTTGTATATAACCTGTTAAGTATAAAACCACCAAAATTTTTTTTGAAAACATCGAATATTTATATGAACAAGTTGTTTCAAGTCTTTTTGCAAACCACTGTATTTCATTACCTAAATTAAATTTTCGAAAAAAAGAAAAAGAAAAGTGCAGATTTTTCGAAAAAGAATAGATTATTTATCTACAAGGATATTGTGAGTGATTTAAAGTACGCCCACATACAATAGAAAAAGAATCTTATATTTTCTATTGTCAAGGACGTTTAAAAAATTAAGTCAGCTGCTTTTTTTTATCCTCCATTTTAATATTCATATCAAATTTTATCAATGATATCGCAAAGGAATAGTGTAGTTGCTCTTCAGGTATTGATTTATTTCAATCGATATTAAATTTGAAAGAGATTTTCTTGATTTATTTTCATAGGCAACTCGTCAACCGTTACATTTGGGTTTTACGGAAAATGATGTTCCACAATTATTTTGTCAATTGGATGTTCTTCGTCGATCCGAAGAAGCGGAATATGCCTATTGGAAAGAGAAAGCACGGTATGAATAAAAGAGAGAAAAAAAAAGCATAAATTTTATTTTTTATTGTTTGAAGATGGGTACGTTTTGAAGAAATAGCAGAAAATGTTCTTGGCCGTTGGTCAAAACCACATGTTGCAACATTGATGCAAACAGCTTTATTAGATCTAAAAACTTTATTAGGTTCTGGTGTTATTCTTCTTAATGTTATACCAACGGATTTAACTGGACTTTCACGTAGTTTTAAAAGAATCTTATTATTATTATTATTATTTGAATAATTTATTTAGAACAAATTGTTCAATCACTTATCGATGCGAAATATATTGATGATAATGCAATTGCTCAAAAATTAAGTTGGATTCTTGGTTTACCACATTTTCATCATCATGAAAAACGTTCGGTTACAAAAACAGCAAGTTCAATTAGTTTGTCAAAGCAAGGTCTTCATCCAAGTCCAAGTTTCGTTATGAATACTCTTCTACAACGAAGTATTAATCGAATTCTTTATTTCTTCATACTATTTTATTTCTCATATAGATGATGAATCTGATAATACACAGGATATGTCTGCACCACGGCTGATTAATCGTAAACAATCAAGCCACGATATGGCGCTAACAGAACATGAAGAATCAAACAGCCCCGCAACACCACCTTCAGCCAAGGTAAAATCAAAGACATATTAAAAAAGAAAAGCTCCTTCTATATTATTATCATATTACTATTGATTTAATATTAAGAAAGAAGATTTAAATAAAGCTTTTATCTAAACAAATGAAAATAATCATATTTACTTAAATTCTTTTTTTTTGTCTATAATTAAAATAATCAAACAAATGTTCATTTAGGATTATAATACAAAATTACAAAGAAAATTAGGTCGTAAAACTGAAGCTGCATCGATATTAGTATGTCCAGTTGATTTTGTTAAAGAACCAACACTTGTTTTCGTTCGTCTGGAAAATGCTATTGAATTATTAGGAATGCTTGAAATAAAACTTTATTCACGTTTTATTGTTCTTTTAATTGGACCAGAAGAAATTGAAAAACAATTATTACAAGTTGGACGAACAATGGCAACAATATTAACTGATGATATATGTAGAGAATTTGCTTATACAGCAAAAGATTCGGATGATGTCATGCAAATGATGGATAGATTTATGCAAGATACATATGTTATTCCACCATCGGAATGGGATCCATCAATTCGAATTGAACCACCATCAAAATATACGAGCAAAGTAAATTAGAAAAATAATTATCGATATATATGTATATATTTATTACAGGAAGAACGACAAAGTCAAGGGCCGGAAGAAAAAGTCGGAGAAGTTGAGGAGATTGATTTAACTCCTCATGCCGATCCAAATTTAAAAGCATCAAAAACGTATAAAATTTTATTAGAAAATATTTTATATATTATTTTTTTTTCTAGACCGTTTCATGGTCTTTTCGTTGATATACGAAATAAATTACCATTTTATGTATCGGATTTTACTGATTGTGCAAGTTTACAATGTATAGCAGCAACACTTTATTTATATCTTGTATGTCTTTGTTCAGTTGTTGCTTTTGGTGGTATGCTTGGATCAGCAACAGAAAATTATATGGTAAGACTATCTCATATATGATTAGAAAAAATATTGATACGTTGAATAACAATCGTTTGTTAATGTCTTAATATGAATAGGTGATGAGAAAATATGCATGTAGACGTCCTGATGATATAATAATATATATCAATTATTATTTATAGAACCTCAGCTCGTACCATATTTATGGTTTTTTTTTGCACTTTAAAACCATATTAAAATGTGGTTACAAATTATTAAACAGATGTGCTTGTTTCCCATCAGTTCGTTTTAGAAATTAAAGTCTTTTACTGATACCATTGTTCAATAGTTTTTAAAGATGTCCGATTTTATTCACTCCCGATCGTTCTATCTCTTATTGTATTTCCCTTAGGCAACAATGGAATGTATTCTCGCAGCTTCGATAAGTGGTGTTCTATATGCATTATTTTCTGGTCAACCGTTAAATATTCTTTCGGCAACTGGTCCTATGTTAATTCTAGAACGTATTATAGAACATCTTTGCAGGTAAATACTGACCGATTATTCTATTATTTTTCGAAAAATATCTTTTCATAGAGATTATAAAGTAAATTTTCTACAATTTCGTGTATGGATTGGTGTGTGGATATTTGTCTTATTGATTATATTTGTTACATTTAATTTAAGTTTTCTTGTTAAATTTATAACACGTTTTACCGAAGATTGTTTTGCATCATTAGTTGCATTAATATTTATCTATGATGCTATACGTGAAATTTTAGCTCTTCGTACGAAATATCCAATTAATTATCAACGAAATGCAATATTAGATTATACATGTTCATGTATATTTAATACTACTTTGCATAAAAAAACATGGATGAATACTACAAATCTTAATGGTTATCTATTGAATGCAACACATTTAAACCAAACATCTCAACTTGCATGTACAAAAGCAGGTGGTTCTGTTATTGGCTCAGGTTGTTCAACGCCGGTTTATCACGCTGATATATTTTTCTTTTCTTTACTTTTATTTATTTTTACATTTCTTATTTGTATGGCTTTACAAGAATTTCGTCATAGTCAATTTTTTCCAACAAAAGTAAAGATCAAAAATTTTCTATATACATATTTATGTTAATATTTAGGTTCGAACGATTCTTGGTGATTTTTCTGTTTTAATTGCTATTGTACTTATGTCGGCGTGGAATGCATATTTAAATTTGAATACACCGAAATTACAAGTACCAACAGAATTTAAACCAACACGACCAAATGATCGTGGTTGGATAATACCGTTTTTTGGTGAAAATCCTCTTTGGACGATACCAGTAGCTATTATTCCAGCTTTAATAGCAACTATACTTATATTTATGGATCAACAAATAACAGCTGTAATTATTAATCGAAAAGAATTTAAATTAAAAGTAAATAAATCTTGTTTGTTGTGTTTGAAAATTTTTTTTAAATATTTTCACAGAAAAAACTTGGTTATCATCTTGATTTATTTGTTTTATCAATTACAATTTTAATACAATCATTACTTGGTTTACCTTGGTTTGTTGCAGCTACTGTTTTAGCATTGACACATGTTAATGCATTGAAAATTATGAGTGAAAATACAGCACCAGGAGAAAAACCAAGATTCGAAGGAATTCTGTAAGAAATAAATTTTATCAAATCTGGTAACAGAAGTTTCATTTTGATTTTTAGCGAACAACGTGTTAGTTCACTTTTAATGGCAATTTTAACTGGATGTAGTGTATTCTTTACTCATATCTTAGGGGTATGTAGTTTTTGAAGTTATCGGATTAGAATACTTATTTAATTACACGCTATTATTAGAGAAAGAGTAGACTCAAGTAGATATACACTTTATCTCTCTGAAAATGACTACTATTGTACAGTATATATCAAGATATTTAATTTTAGTTCATTCCAATGCCTGTTCTTTATGGTGTTTTCATGTTCATGGGTGTTTCGGCTTTACGTAATATGCAAGTAAGTTATTTCAAAAATTTGTTTTTCCTATTCATTCAAATTTTGTTTTTCATATGTATAGATTTTTGATCGTATTTTATTATTTTTTATGCCACAAAAACATCAACCCGATCATCCATATTTACGTCATGTACGTATAACACGTGTTCATTTATTTACAAGTATACAAATAATTGCACTTGCTGGTATGTTTGCAATAAAAAGTATCAAATCAATTGCAATCGGTTTTCCATTATTGGTAAGAATATTTGAAAAATTACGAACAAAAATACATTGTTTAGTCTCATCTTTTTAAAGGTACTTGCAACGTGTTTCGTGCGTAAACTCATGGATAAAATATTTACACAAGAAGAACTCTTTTGGCTTGATGATATATTACCTGGTACGAAGATAGGTCGTATTCGTCGTGCATCTGCTGCTCGAAATGTTACGATGCCAAAAGCAATTGATAATTATAATAATGGTGAAACAATAACAGTAAATATATTTTCTTTGATCAAAAATATTGATTTTTTTTTCAAAAACAAAAACTGTAACAAATTATTTTCAGCCACCAATTGATAGAATTAATATCGATCCGTATCGAGCTATATCTCGAACTAATTTACGAAATATTGAAGAGGTCGGTTTCTCTTTTATATCAAGTTGATTATTAAAATGCATGAGACACGAGTTAGAAGATTTTTTTGTTTTCTCTAGCACTTATAGCTTAAAATATTAATTATGCACGATACATGAGTTTTTCCCTTTCACTTAGGTTGTAAAAGATGAATCAAAAAAACAAGATTATGGAGATGAATATTTTCTACCAACTAGTGATTCTGATCAATCACGCGCACCATTGATTGTTGTCACAGAAGCATTACCATCCGACGAAACAGCTCAAGTTACAACTGTAAAGTTTATAATTAAGAATATTCTTATTTTCCTAACCTAAAACTAAAAGAGGCTATTTATTCTAATAATGAAATAAAACTAAAAAAAAATTCTTTTGGTGATGGTAAAACTTGATTAATTTAACACATATGCACATTATTGCTTATAGGTTACACCATCTAAAATCAATAATACAAAAAATCGATCAAAAAAATCGATTGATACACCAACGGTGACATTCGTTGCCGGTCATCCTGAAGACGATTAATTATCGTTTGTAATATAACTTATCTTGTTTGAAAACTTCTTCTCCTGCTTCTTCAATTGCTTAATAATGCTCAATTAATTATAGAACATTTAACAGATAATATTAAAATAGCCATTTTCTTATAGGAAGAAGCTCAACATTTAATAAATCGTCATTCATCTGAACATAATGATGATGTTAATGGTAATGTTAGATATAAAACTGGTCCAACATCTGTATAACAAAACAAAAAACAATTCTTCCTTCTTCTTCTTCTTCTTCTTTCTTTTGTTTTCTTTGCTTATTATGAAAATTTGTTTTTATTTCTTTTGATTCTTTAGTGAATGCACGCAAAAAACTTTCCATTTGAACTTTTTTTTTCTCTTTTGTCACACAAAATAGCTTAAATCTTTTTTTTCTTCTTTTCAAAGTAAAAAAGAAACCTAATTATTTAGATAGAAATTAAATAATATTTTTTTTTCTTTCTTATTTTACTTAGTCTATCTTCTAAATAAAGAAATTATTTATATATTTGATCAAGACATTTGTATTGTTTGAAATGATTATTTACTTCAATATATATATAAAGATTTCTTTATATTTTTTCTGATGAATTATATAGATAAAAGGAAAAATGAATGTTTAGCTAAAATAATGCAGTTTATAGAAGATGGTTGGATATTTATGAAAAAAAACAAATCAAAGAGCATAGTTGATCAGTATAATTGGTTAATGCAATCAATTATCTTAAACGATAAAAATAAATTATATATGATGATATTTATGTTGTTATAGACTTTCGTTTTTCTTGGAAAACAAACAAATAATTCTACTGATTGAACTGTTTGAATATCAAAGCAAAGTAATTTACAATGTTATTATGTTATATGTTGAAATAAATAATGATGTTCAACAAGAATTCTTATTGTCAGAGTTAATTACATATTCTATTCATCACTTGGATATATTCATTAACTATAGACAGGAAAAAGCATTGATTATCAGATGAAAACAAAATGCTTTTCAAAAAAAGCGACAGATCAAGATATATATAATTATTCAATAAAAGAATAGTATTTGATAGGATTCATTACCATTGACTTCGATATTTTGATGACATTGAAAATGATTTTGTTCTTGTAACTAATAAATAATATTTCTATCAATCAGATTATAAGAAAAAAGAATAGTTTTCTAATAGAATATGACAAATATATAAATAACAACTAACTAAATGTCAAATAGATAAGTTTGTTTATTTCATAGAATCTGACGACTTAATTAAACTATATTATTTCGTAACAATTGAAATTAATTCTATTCTAATATGCTTCAAAAACTTTTCTTTCTATAAATAGAAAATTGTTTTAATTATTCTGTCTAGTTTTGAACAATAAAGTATATATTTATCTAACAAGCTTTTTCTTTTTTACATTTTTATCCGTTAACAAACACAAATTATTCTATACAAATATACTGTTAAACATCATAATTATATATTCCCAAGAAATTATATTACCATTGTTCTTTTCTAGATAGTATTATTATTTTATAGTTCATTTAACAAATATATTAAAGAATTACAATAGATTCTAATTAATACTGACCTTGTTGTATTTTAGAACTTGTTGAAATAATATTTTATAGTTTCCAGAAAAAAGAAAAAATGTCATTTTATTTTCTAATAATTACTTTAATATGTACACAAACATTGTTTTTTTTCATACGAAAACAAACTAATAAAATGATCATGTCGGGACTAGAAGAAAATCGAAAATTTTTGTCTTCATTATATTAATCAAATTTGCTAAGATAATTCAAATTTCCTGTAAACTTTTCGACAAGTGTATCTAACCTCTGTTGTTTTTCCCTTGATCTACTATTGTAAATATACTACCATAGAACAAAAAGAAAATGTTACTACGTAGAAGAAAAAAATAGATTATTAATGTGAACTCGTCTTCTTCTCATTTCTTTTTTTTTCTCTATGTGCATCAAAGCGTTTGCTTGATTCAATAGATTACTTTTTTTTTGATGAGGATAAAAAAATAATGACATAAATTAGAGGAAAAATACGATGTGTGATAATATTTCTCTACTATCGAAATAATTATATAGCATCTTGTTTCTGTCATCGTCATTCGTCAGTATATTCTTTCAAGACATGACTTTTTCGGAGGTTCATACGTTGGTGAGAACGATGAATCCTCGCGTTTACTTATTTATATCGGATTCTATTTCTTCATCGAAGCATATGAGTCTTCTTTTTCTTCTAAGTTCCCATCCTCTCGTTTCCCGTTCGGTTAATGCTTTATTATAATTCTATACTGCGAACAAAGAAGAAAGGAAAGAGAAGGTTCTATGTGAACGATGAAAAAAGGGCTCTAATAAGGGAGAGAGAGAAAAAAAAACTATGGAAAAAAGCAAAAAAGTTCTATCAAAATAGCACAACATTGTAACGACTGAAATAGCGATGCGAAGATGCGCGTTTTTTTTTTGTATTCACAAACATATAAACGGAACTATTCTATTAAACAGCATGTCGAACCGAGCAAAAAGGACACGAGAGTATTGTTTATTTAAAAGAATACAAAAAAAAACAAAACTAGCGATTTTTACCATCTATTCAACTTGTAAGTCACATACATATGTATATTCATAGTATTTTTCTTTCAGTCGAACAACTGATTGAGACATATTTTTTTTTGTCATTTTCTACTAGACTAAGGTACGTGAAATTCTATATCTTCTGGGAATAAACATGATGAAATATATTATATTAGGAAAATGATCATCTCGATAGAGAAATAAGAATTGTATCCAAAAATTAAACATAATTATTTTTCGGTTTTCTTCTATTTAATTGATGAAATAATTTTTAATATTTATAGATATATATATATAATTTAATTGACTATTTAAAAAAATGTTTCCTGCATTTAATCATAGTGGTTATACTCCAATGAATATGTCACATTATGCTGCTTTTATTATGACTAGACCTCCAGTGATACCAATGACAACAACAACAGGACCCATTCCACTTGAAAATAGGCCACCAATTATGGCAACATTTATTTCACTTTATGTATTGATATTTTTCTTTGGTATTAGTGGCAATGCCCTTGTTGTTCGTAAGTACACATTTTTACTTTCAAGTTCAATAACTTCCTTTATATATTTTTTTTTAATTTAGTTGTTGTTTGTAGAAATAAAGCCATGCAGACAGTCACAAATGTCTTCATTACTAATTTAGCACTTTCAGATATTCTTGTAAGTATTTAAAAGTAAATAATTAAGAAAACAAAAATTGATTATTCCACTTCATATTAGATGTGTTGTCTGGCAGTACCATTTACACCTATATCAGCCTATGGTAATACTTGGCATCTTGGGAGAGTATTATGTCATTTAGTACCAATGTCATTGGGTATTTCAGGTAATACTTAAATTTCTTTTTTTTGTTATAATTTCAATTCTTTATGTTTTTCATAGTCTATGTATCAACATTGACATCATTGGCTATAGCAGTTGATCGTTATTTTGTTATTGTGCATCCATTTCGTTCACGGATGCGTTTAGGTGTATGTATATTATTAATAATTGTTATATGGGTTGTTGGTATATCTATATCATTACCATTAGCAATATACATGCGATTCGATAGCGTCAAATGCGAAGTAAATAAAGAAACCAAGCAAAAAAAAAAAATTTTTTTATTTTTTCTTCAATAGGAATATTGGCCACAATATACATCTCGACGTTTTTTTAATTTTTCATCATTAATATTACAATATTTAATTCCATTTTCGGTTATATCATTTAGTTATTATAAAGTATGGGTTGCACTTGCACGTCGTTCATTACCAGGTCGTACTCGTGTACGTGAAGAAGTTGAAATATGTCGTAAAAAACGTACAAACCGTATGCTTATTGCTATGGTTGTTATATTTGCTATTTGTTGGTTACCATTAAATATTGTTCATATGGTTGCAGAATTTCATCGTTCAGCATTAATTCATTATAAAGTTTTATTTTTAAGTACACATGTTATAGCTATGTCATCAACAATTTATAATCCATTTTTATATTCATGGTTAAATGATAATTTTCGTAAAGAATTTCAACAAATAATTCCATGTTTATTTAAAGTATGTTGGTGTTTTAATCGTCGTCGTGTAAATCATCCATCAACACAATTAACAAATGTTGTCGATGGAGAATTTTTTGAACGTCCATCAACATATCAAATACCAGCTGAATCAACTATAGCAACATACACTCAAACATTTTCTCATGTAAAAAATTCACAATCGAATGGAAAAATAAATGGTTTACCAATGAAAAAATTGAGCAGTCAAGAACCTTGTCTTTTATCTCCTCTTGATGATACATCTATACAATTAAATCCACAACAAGAAACAATATTTATGTCAACGAATACGAATTCAAATCATATTTGACATTGATATTTTCTTTTATATTTGCGCCTTGTCATATTTAAATAAAAAACAATATCAATCATCGTTACGTGATGCTATATTTTCTTTTTTTTGTTAGTTCGTTTGCATACTAAATATAAATAAATAAAAAAATTATTCTCAATATAAATTTTGTTATGATTTGATTATATTTAAAGAAACATGTTAATTAAATTTAAGATTTATTCTTTAATTAATACATAAGACCTTTTTTTTGCGAAAATACTCTATTGACGCATTCATATAGAAAATCTTATTGCTTATTCATTTGACCGAATATGTTATTAGCAAGAAAATGAATGATTTGCATTCATTGAGTGTCTTTCATATTCTCAAGAGAAAAGCGTGAAATCTATTCTATACTATAACAACTCGATCTTGAATTTATATTAACATCTTCTTGATTAGTATTCACAATGATATTTTGTTTAGAAAATAATTTTGTATTAGTTTTACTATATAATCATTAGAAAATATCCAGGAAGTATGTGTGTGTGTGTTTTTTCTCTTAGATGTCAGTAATGATGAATAGATGGAAACAAAAAAAAAAGAAAAGAAAAGAATGGATTAATAATACATGAAAAACTACGAGTAGTTACTTCAAAATAAGTACTTTACTTGTCATGTATATTAGTTCTAACGAACTTAGTTCAATCTATTTTAGGTTATAGAATTTAATTTATTATTTAAATAATGTCCAGAAAGTAAAATAAAATATTTTTAAATTGATATTATATGCGAAGCATGACATATATTTAAACTGGATTATAATCATAATATATATTATTGTAATAAAATGCCTAAAGATTTTTGTTAAAAATGAACGGAAATAATTTCAATGTCAGCGTTTTTCTTTTTTATGAATGTATTCAGAATATTTAATATTTAATGACGAAGTCGACTAACAATTTATTTATTAAAAATTAAAAGCAGTACAATAACTTATTTTTTCTTTCTAGTTCTAAATAATTTAAAGAAACATTTATTTTTGGTAAACAAATGTACTTTTATATATGCAATGATAAAAAAAATATATAATATGTTTTTTTTGACAGATGCAAATAATCAATGACAAATACGAAAACAAATATCAAATTTCTTTTCTATATGATCTATGCGAACGATTGATAGTATTACATTTCTCTACAATAAATTTTATATTCAAGTCAAAATAAGCATTCTTTGATTGTTATTTTTTTCAGTTAAATAAAAGAAATAATGTTCTTTTGCAATCGTCATGTGCCCTTTTCTTTCTTCGTCAATAATACTAGTATTATTTGTAATTCTTTTTTTTCCTCGTCTACTTATACAATGAATCATTTTTATAATATAAAAGAGAGAAGATTAATATCGATTTTAATATCATAAACAATATGCAACGCTCTAGAATGACACAACCAAATTCAAATACATATTATGAATCATATACAGATGATGATTCTGGTATTAGTCTTGATTATGATTATTCGTCAACAAGTGATATTCATTCATCGAGAACAACATTAATTGAACCACCTACACCGATTCAATCAAAAAATATATCATATCGTATTCCGGATATAATTCAAACAAAAGAAATAAATAGAAAACCGTTAATGACATTTACAACTGATGGAATTATTGAACGTATTCGTCCAATAACGTTGAAAAATAGTCAAAATGGTGATTATATTATTTGTAATACAAATCGTGGAACATATATTGCTTATCGAACACCAGTTGTTCCTGCGTGGGTTACACAAATCGTACGTGAAGTGGAATTACGTGAAAAATAAGAGACACATCATGTTTATGCAAAAATATTGCTAATGAAGTCCTTTATATTTTCTTCTGTAAATATAATGTCATTATATTTGCCATATATTTTTAATGTGTGAATATATAAGAACGAAAGAGTACATTGCTGAATGTGTTTTTTATGGGCTCTAAATCTGTAGAGTGTTATACAGCTTGAATAATTGAATTTTATTTTTATGGTTGTAAGAAAATAGTTCGCGTGAATACACTAACAAGTTTTTCAATTAATCACGAGTAAATATGACGATATAGATTCATTATAAAGCATTGAAAAAAGAAATATGATGAGGTGCTGAATGTTCTTGAATAGAAAGTTATAAATGAGTACTTCCAATGGGTGTCAATTACAATTGCACATATTTCCTTCATCATAAAAATAATGAAATTAATAATATGATTAAATAGTTTTTGAAATTATATATAAGATTTACTTGAGCAGGAGCATATATATTGTATGTATGTATATAATATCTATTTATTTATGATCTTTTACCTTTGGTTAGATCATATCTCTTTTGTAAACATATATTTCTTTGCTGCTCCGATTTATCAATAGATCGATTTCAGTTCGAATCAGCCTGTAATAATCTAATAGTTCCTTTGTTGGTATAAAAATATGCTGATTTCGAGATATAATTTGCAAGAGACTCAAATATATCGTACCAAAAGAAAATCTAATGTTTTCATCTATCGCATGTTAATTCAACTCAGGCAGAGTCGAAAAATTACCAATGCATTTAAAGCTAAAGCTTTCAACAAACAAATTATATCTAATTCGGAATGAACGTCAATAATTTTGAAAACTGATACCATAGTACGCCAATGATGTTTCAACTTGTTACTAAATCTGTTAGAAGCTGGATTCGATTTAAAACAGATAAATTTTGAAGGGTGTGGATGTGGGTAATTAATCTACGCTTTGTCCACACCAATACCCACACCCACCCATGCTCAAGATGGTTTTTCTGTATGTACTGAAATATATGTGAACTTTATTTCGTTTTTTAATAATAATTTGTTTTTCAAATAGAATCCATATTCTTTATTTATCAAAACGATTGTTTAGAAGTACTGATAAAATTTTATTTAACAAAAAATGAATCGTACAAATCATGAAAAAAAATTATAAAAAACTACATATCAACTAATATGCAAGGAATAATCTTTGTAATATCAGCAGAACGAATCAGTAGTATGAAAGGAAAAGATTTATTTTGATACTTTTTCTGTTTTCTTTTTATCATGTATAAGTATGAGATACATACTTTTGCCGATAGTATTCTACCATTTCATTTCCTTGAGATCCTGCTGTTTTTCTAAGAACTTCTTCAGTTACAAAATTAGTTAACATTTCAGCTCCTTGAGGAGAATTAATATTTAATTTTTCACAACGTCCTGATGTTGCACTAGACATCTCTCTAAAATTTTTTTCAGCACCATCATGAAGATAAAATGCATGAATAGGGATATTTTTAGCTTTCAATTTTTGTAATTCTGTTAAGTAATGAGTAGGTGTTTTATATTTAGTTTTACTCCAATATGCTTCACCTCCATTCGTTTCACGATCTCTATTAATTGCTGATACATCTTTTGTAGGTGCATCTGCAACCAGTATTACTTGAGAGAGCCCATCCGATTGTTCACTTTGCTCAACTGCATGAGATAGTCCTATTTCAATAGCTTCTTCATAATCCCCACCCCCTTTAGCTGTAACTGTTGCCATGAAATCTCTCAATTTACTTGGTTTTGTTTCCCAAGAAGAACTCTGAAGAATTCCATCTGCTTTACAATCATAATCTCTATAAACGACAAATTGCATTTGAAAGGCATCATCTGGTAACCCATTTTTGGATAGAACAGTTGATGCACGTTCAAACATTGTACAGACTGTTTCTTTAGCAGCAGATAATAGATTAGACATAGATCCTGTTGCATCCATAAGTAAAACACTACGTGAAGGAGCTATTACTAGATTCGCTCCTTGATTTCGTTTAGCTAAAAAAGTTTTAGCTTCTGAAATTTTTCCCGATGCTAAATCACTCATAAATTCTTTTGAAGCTTTATGATCAGCTTCACATTGTTTAATACCAAGTCCTTTAGCACCAGCTTTACTCTCATAAAGAGCAGTACGTATCTTATCTAAATTATCATGAAGTTTTTCATGATGTATCTTCACAATATCATCTTTCCAAGTAGAACCAAGTATCCATTCTAAATCACTATCTAATAAAATCATTCGATAAGAACCTTTCTCTCCTTGCCGTGCTCCTCTACCCATAATTTGGTATTCTTCAGATTTTTCTTCGGAAAAAAATGTCTGTAATACATGTATACCACCATCTAAGAGCAATTTTTGATTACGACATATAAAATCAGTTCCACGCCCGAACATTCGAGTTAAGAGTGTCACTTTATCTGCTTGTGAAGCACGTTTAACAAATAATTCTCTATCTGATACGGAGACTTTTTCTGTTATGATGTGAACATTTTTTCGCATGGGAGCAAATATTTCAGAGCGATAAAATGCCGTTAGTTTTTCTTCCGATTCAAAAAATACGAGAATTGAACGATGTAAATCACATATAGTACGAATTTCTCCAAAAATTTCCATAAAATATTCACTTTCATTAACAACTTGTACATCAAACGAAGGGTTATATTTACGATTACTCTCTCCATATACTGATGGTATATAAGTTTTTCTAGTTATTGAATATACATTTTCTAAAATTTTTTTTTCAACTTCAGCTAAAGTTTTTAAAGTACCAGTTACACCACCAATAAATACAAATTCATGAGGCATTTCAGCATATGAAAATGTTCCACAATTTATTAAGATACCAACATTATCATCTAAACTATCCTTACTAATATTACCCTTTTCATTTTCATAATAATAAGTCCAAACAGTATCATAACCAAGAACTACATTATCTGCAATAGATTCACCATCGACATAAGCTATTTTATCATTATGAACAATATAAGTTGACGATTTATATGATTTTAGAGCAGCTAACATATCTTTTATAGCTTCATCAAAAAGAAATATCCAGTTTGTATATTTATTTATACAAGTTTTATATGCTGGTAAAGATTTAACAGCATTCAATGATATAACGGTTTTATTTTGCCAAATAGCATCTAATAATGCTTTTATTGATGGATCTTTTAGATATACAGATGGTATATAGACTCCTCCGTAATATTTATCACTAAGAAAAACATCAACTTCATCAATTAATAATACTTTTGCGCGTATACGTGATTTTGTATCAATTGCATCTATTGTACTTTTATTGTTGACGATCATATCACGTACTTTATCTCTAATATTACATTGTTCATTCAATAATTGTTCACATAATTTATTGAAAGTTCCATATTCAATACGCTTTTCTATTCCAAGTGTTACAAAAACAGAAGCAAAATCCTTTGCATCTCGTGTACTTAAAACATCACTATAACATGAACAATTAACATCAACATCAGTCAGAGCGAAAACACAAGCAGTAACTGCCATAACAACTGATTTACCTTCACCTGTACCTAATTCTACTAAATTATTTTCTAAATCTTCCGCAATCTTTTTCGAATAAGTTACATTAAGAATAGGTAATTTGCTTTTTTTTGCATATCCAAGGCCAAGTAAACGAAGAATAGCAATGACTTGCCCAACATGTGGTCTTAATAGATAAGAATTTGCATCCTCAATACCACGCATTGTATTATAATGCTGAGTATTTTTTAATGTCCAAATAGCAAAAATATGTGCTAATAAAACAGGAATATCATCTTTAAAACTTTCAGTCCACATAAAAGAACCAGGTTTCTTATTAACTGAACTAACTAAAGATTTTGTTTGCGTTACTAATACTTCAAGATCTGGTTCATTAGTATCATTTTGCTGAATTGTTTTTAAAAACTTATGAATTAACTTTTGATATGTACTGTTAAACGTTTCATAACGTGAACGTAAAACTTCTTTATCAATATCTGTACCTGTTAGTTTATTTAACATATAATCAATATTGTCTTGATTTTGCATATTTTTTCGACGTTGTACTACTTCTTTTGCACTTAAAGCTGAATGTTCATTAATCATTCTTGCACCTATCTCAGATTTTTCTAATTCAGAAGATAAACAAAATATACCGGTAGCTCCTCGTTTTCCTTGATAACATTTTAAAAAATTATCTATTTTATCATTAATATATTTTCCGAACATAGGAAGATTTTCAGCATAAAATTTCATTTGACTTAATTTGTTAGCAACTATATCGATATCTTTTATGTTATTTTCCAATTCTTGACATAAAACATTAACTTTTTTCAAAACATTTTCTTTAGCATCTTCTAAAACTTGTTGAATATCAATACAAGATGATTTTAGATGTTTATTTAAACTAATCAAATGATTATAATATGTACGAAAACTATCAGTGTCGTCAGTTGTTAGGTGAGATTGTGATGCTTTACTCATTAATTGATTCTTAATTTGATCGACTTTATTCTTTATTTCGTTTTCTAAACTATCAATATCAATTATTATTAAATCATTATCTTTAAATTTTTGATTTATAGATCTTAATATATTCATTGAATATTTAATATTATTAAATAATTCATCACGTGTCGTTTCGTATCTTATTGTTTCATCAGTAATGAATTCTACATATATATTTTCCTTCAATTGTTCAATTAAATTTTCAAATTCCGAATACATATCTTCATATGAAATAACATTTTTAAGTAATATCGACAAATCTTCTATTAATCTATGATTTACTGAACATTGCTTTATGTGTTGTAATAAAACTTTCCAGTTATTCGATATTAACATAGTTTTCTGAAGATCAATCACATTTTTATCTTCTAATGCAGTTCGAAATTTCTGTGAATTTTCATTAAGATACGTTGACATTTTTTCAATTGAATTATTCATATTTTGAATAATATCATTCGGAAAAAACTCATTAACTTTTTTATCTAATGTATTAAAAAAAAGAAGATAAGTTTCTAAATCAAGAAAAGCTTTTACAACAATATCTGTTTGTTCAATCGTAGATATATTACTAAGAGTTACACTACAAGTTTGAAAATTCTTTTTTATTAATTTACGAATATTTTCAGATATTCCTTTTATTCCTGGAATATACATTCCAACGTGTTTTTCATACATTAAGATTTTCTTAACTAAATGAATAGGGATTTCACTCTTATGCTCATCGAATGATTTCCCTATGTTTGCTTGATATATATATAATTTTTTTAAACATTGTTCTTGTAATACTCTAAGAAGATCACGCATATTTTGTTTATTATATTGTGCTGCTCGACGACCTATTTCAACAATAGAATGATCACTATGATCGGTATTTATTAATAATTTATCTAAATCTTCCTTGTGACCATTAACCTCATTAGCAATTAATTTACTTAATTCATCAATTTGTTGTTTAAATTGTATTTGTAAGTCATCAGGTAGAAAATGTAATGCGTAGTTTAATGAATGCATTCGAGCAGAACGTTCATTTAATGGTGCCTTACGTACGTCTTCTATTGCTAAATTAAAATTTTGACGAATTTTTCCTGTAATTGATGTATAAGCTTGAGTAAATTTTGCACTGCCATGTGCTGCAACTACTTTTAATTTTATTAAAAGATCTTTTGGTGGATCTACAGAATATTTATTAACATCAGAAAAATCAATTCTATTAAGAATCTCAGTTACAATACTATCAATTCTTCCTCTTAATTCTTTACCTTTTTTCTCGACATCTTCTGATACACAGTAACCTGTTAATTCACGTTGAATCTGACTTAATCTTTCCATACCTTGTTCAACTTCAAAAAAACTATCAGCCTGCATAAAAGCTTCAATTGAGCTAAGGCCTCGAAAAAGAATTCCTGCTAAAATATCATTAATTTCATCATCAAACGTTTGTAAATTTCCTCTAGTTTTCTCATCAAGTAAGCGTATGATACTATTTTTATTACAAGCAGTACGAATTTTATCCATATTTTCTTTTATTTTTATTATTTGATCACGATTATCTTCTCTTTCTATTTTTCCATCAAGCCAATGTGCAATACTCTTTGTATCCCTCATTAACTTATTCAATGAACTCTGTAAATCATTTTCAATTTGAGCTTTATCTCGTACATTCCATGGATCTTCATCAATTTCAGATAATTTATTGGCCGCATTGGCAAAATCTTCCTTGGAGATATATTCTAAAACTGTTCTATATATCACTCGACTTTCTTTGTTAATTTCCCCATGATATTGTCGATATAAAGATCCAAATCCATTGCCAGCAAATATAACAACACAAAAACGATCAACACAACTTAATGCTTGAGCAATTATTATTTGATCTCTTAATTCTCGAAGTTTTCCTTCAAGTTTATATTCTTCCATTTTAGCACTTAAAATATGATGAAAACTAAGAAATTCTTGTTGCCAATATTCAATTATTTCATCACCATTTATACATTGAAAAACATGTGAATATTTATTAAATGATGATAATTCACGTAAATGCATTTCTAATTCTTGTGTATATAATAATGGATTTTTCTCATTTGAAATTGTACGAATTTCAAAAAAAGTACGATTAATTTCTTGTTTTAAAAAATTTCCATATTCACGAACATATTTTCTTAAATTTTCATTTACATCAATAGCATTTTCTCGTACACTATCATAATCAGCTCTTTCACATTGTATTGTATATATCATTGCATTATTAGCTATTGAAGCATTTAATTTATCATTAAAATGATGTGTTTGTTTACTATTTCCACGTTCATTAATAACTTTTGTCATTTTTTTTATTTTATCATCAAATATTTCATAATCATTAAATCCTTTTTCTCGAAGATAATTTATTTCATCTGATGATGAATGACGAATCTTCAATAATGATTCATATTCTTCATTTATTGATCGAAGATTAGTTAAAGAAACAATTATTTCAGAATTTTGATCTTCTAATTGTTGTAAATTACTCTGATGGAATCTTTCTACATCTGAAATTTTGTTATAGATTTCATCAATATTTGAATATCCGCAGTTACTTAAATAATTATTCGCTCGTACGTTTCTAACAGAATAGTTTGGTTTGACTGCATTCACTATGCTTCCAACCATACCCGTCTGGGAAGCGCGCATATTCATATATTCTCCAATAATCGTATTGAATTTATTCAATTCTGACTCTTTGTTTTTTTCAATATTTTCTCGTTTTTGACCTAATTCGTTTTGTTTTTTTATTAATTCTTTAATTTCATCATTCAACATATTAATATCTGCATAACCTTGCTTTTGTAAATATACACGAGCTGGTTGTAAACTCTCATATTCTCGTTTAATTTCTTCTAAATTCCTTAAATTTTGTTTTATTCTATAAACATCTTTATCTTCTAAACTAAATGTTTTTTGAATACGTTCAAATGAAGCTTTAGCACATTCTGTAAAACGTTTAACAATTTCTTCTCGAAATCCTTTTAATTCCTTAATACTTCCCTCTAAATCACGCATTAATTCAATTTTTTTAACAATTTCTATAGCAAGAGATATATTCTCAGGATATTTTAATGTAAAATCTAATCTTCTCAAACTATCCCGTAATTGAGTAGCATTCTGTACTAATTCTTCTGTAATACGTTCAAGTAAATTTTCGAATGTTCCTGGACTAGCTTTACTGATCCATTCAGAATTTTTTAAACGAACTAATGATTTTGCAAGACTTTTAAAATTTGTCATATTTATATTTTGATCCATGTTAGTAATTAATTTTTCTGTTTCTGCTTGTATTTTTTGCATATGAATACGAATATTCTCAATAGTTTTATAGTAAATTTCAGCAGTTTTTGCTTCAAGTTCAGGAATAGTACGAAGAGAATCCATATCATTTACTAATGACTTAATATGTTCTAAAGCTTGATCTCCACTATTATCAAAAATTTCTTTAATTCTTAAACTAATTTTGTTAAAATGACAAATTATCTTTTGAATAAATTTATCATAAATATCTCTCAAACTATGCTTCTTCCCTTCGGAAACTTGATATTCATCTGATTTTTCTACGAAAGACTTCGAAATTGATTCTTGAAGTGGCGCATTTTCTTTAGCTGATTTTAATATTTCAGTAGAATTTTTTATAATTTCAAATTCTTCATTACTTAATCGAAGTTTTACTAAAAACGGTTCAATCTCATCTAATAAACTATTTAAATGTTGTAAGAAATATTTAACAATATCGCTATATGAATCTTGAATTTGATTATTTAAATAGTTTTTCAAAACACATACAGATTGATAAATTGCCAAAATAATTTTAGCTATTTTTGGAAAATCATTAGTTAAAATAAACTCACGTGCTGTTTTTATTAATTGATGAAGACGATTTTGAAAGTCTTGACAAGTATCATTATAGCTATCTTCTAATTCTGAAAATGTATTTTTCAATTCGAAAAAATTTTGTAAATAGACTGCAATTAAAGGACTATTTAATTCTTCCTCTTGTAAACTAATACTTAATTTATTTAGTTCGATAATAATATTTTGTAACATTGATGCTGGTGATAATAATGTTGAATCTAAATGCTTTCTTAGCATTTGAGCATTAGTTAGATATTCAATACATTTTTGATAATCAGATATATCTTTTTTCTGTAGTCCATCTTGACTAATTAATGCACGATTAAATTTTTCTTTAATTTCTGAACAATAATTACTAATATTGTCACTTACAAAACCAATAGATTCTACATAAACTATTCGAACAAAACCTTGGTTTATTAAATCTTTTAGAATCTCTAAATCATTTAAATAAAATAGAACAAGATCAATATCTTTATGTTTCATAGCACAAATAATACTGAATCTATCTTTTTGAATATGATCATTAATAATAGATCGAGTTTTTTCACTCATTGAAAGAGAAAAAATTTCTCCAGGATTTTTAATACCCTGAGTTATTTTCTTCAGTGTTCGTAATAATTTGTGTGGTTGGTCTTTAGTTGGTTCAATTTTAAAGGTATTATCTTCGGTTTTATCAATCATATCAGTCAATACACTAACAAATGCAGAATCTGAGCTCAAAGTAACATCGTTATCTACGTGTGCTCGTTTGATTTCTACTAGCAAACTATTTATATCTTTGGTATCTGGATATTTTGTGAAAGCATAGACTATAGAATTAAGTCTGTCTTCTATTCCACGTATCATATTTACTAAAATATGGGCTAGTTTCTGAATACCTTGACCTTTATCACCGAGAGTGAGATAGCTTGACAGAACTAATAATTTGACGCTATTTGTTCTTTTCAAAGCGTCAATAACTCCAATACTATTAGCAATGTCAACTTCGGGACCTGAAGTATCTTCGAATCCTGGTGCATCACATAGAACAATCGTATCAGTTACATGAGGACCTAAAATATCTTTTAACTGAATAGTAACAGTTGCAATATAGCGCGTCTCAGATCTTTGTAATGGAGTAGTAGTCACATACTTTAAATCTGGATTATCAATTGGTCCAATCATTGCAACATGATCAAGATATTTTCCAGGCGTAGTTTCTACTTTAACATGTTGCATTTTAGCACCTGATAGAAATTGAATCGTAGTAGATTTACCAGAACCTGTTGGTCCTATCAGAAGGACTATGTCTTTATTCTTAATTAGTTCAGCGGCTTCCTTAGCTTTGCCTATAAGTCGTTGTATTTCAGATACATTCACTAATCTAAGCGCTTTCAACAATACGTGTAAATCATGTATTATGACTTGATACTGATCACTTGTGATAAATTTTGTCAAATTGTGAACAATAGTTTCGACATCGTCTGAAACTTGTTCTTCTCTCTTAAGTTGATATTTTAATTTTTCAAATGACGAACTTATTAAATCTTGATTATTTGGATTTGTATCCTCTTTTAATACTATTCTTCCAAAGTAAATAAGAAGCTCAAAAACAGTTTTTCTGGCACAATCTGGCATAGAAACGATCTCGGCAAGCAGTTCATCAATATGCAAAAGTTGTTTCTGTTCGTTAGCGAAATTCATCGAATCATCTACATTTGAGTCCACTATATCTGATTCAGACGGAATCGATTTTGACTCTAAATGTGAAGATAAAGAATATTCTGCTATTTGATCTGCTAGATTTTGTAATCTTTGAAGTTCTGTTAAAATAATCGTTTCTTTCTCAATGTCATCCATTCTCTGGTCCTCTTTGAAATCTTCAATTCTTTCTTTAGTTTTCATTATTTTCTGTGGCAACAATTTAACATCCTTTATTTTGAGTGTTTTTAGACCATTGTTTAACTTGTCCGTCATCTTTTGCAATTTCATTTGAGTACCATCAGGATCAACAGACAATTCTTTAGTTAATCTATCGATTTCATTCCATAGATTTTGTAGTCGATGGTATTCTTTCAGAAAAACTCTCTCTTTCTCTGCATCGTCAATTCTTTCTTCTTCTTCATAATCCTTAATTCTATCTTCTGTTTTCAATATTTTCTGTAATAACATTTGAATATCTTTAACTTTGATTTTTTCTAAGCCTCTACGAAATTCTTCTTCCAACTTTTTTATTTTTGATTGAAGATTATCTTGAGGATTTGGTGATTCTTTCATTTGATCAATCTTTTTTTTTAAATTTTCCAGCCGTTGAAGTTCTTTCAGAAGGACTCTCTCTTTTTCTGCATCGTCAATTCTTTCTTCTTCTTCATAATCCTTAATTCTCTCTTCTGTTTTCGATATCCTTTGTGGTAATGTTAGAATATCTTTTATTTTCAATTTAGCTACGCTATTCTGTAAATCTTCTTCCATGTGGTGAAGCTCTAACTGGCTATTATTCTGTGACACAGAAGGTATATGCTCCGATCTAGTTACTTCATCTACAAGACTTTGCAATTTTCGGAGTTCTATCAGATAAAACATTTCTTTTTTAGCATCATCCATTCTTTCCTCTTCTTCATAGTCTCTGATTCGTTCTGTTGTCTTCTGTATTTTTTGGGGTAATATATCTAAATTTTTTACTCCTAACCTATTTTGTTCATACTCCAATAGTTGTTGCAATTCACGAAGCATATGAGCTTTACCTTCATTTGAATGTTGAGAATCAGTTGTACTTGAAGTCAAATGGTCTTTTGAATATGTTTGTTGAACAATAAAATTTGATTTTTTTTCTATTTCAAGCGCATCCAATAAATATTTAATGATCAATGCAGAACTATGTGCTGGATCATTGTTCTTTACTACATCTCTTGATTGAAGAGTAACAGATGGATATACATCAGCAAATTGGTATTGTAATTTATCTGGAACAATATTTGTTTCATTTACAGGATCAATATACTCAGCCCGTAAAATTCGATTAGTTTCTTGGAATTCGATTAAAACCCCAATCCAACGTGAGTTTTCAAAAAAATATGGAATTAATAGAATGCGATCGTCCGAATGCTCTTCACGTTCTTGATGCAATAGCCGTTCTAATTGTCCTTCGGTATTATCATTAATAGCCGACAGCACATATACTTCTTTTGAAAATGATTCAGAATATTCTTGTTGCATTTTTTTCAATTTAGACATTAGCAGTGTCTGAATATTATTAAAGCTAAATAGTGTGCTTGTTGAATATTGTGAGGCTTCCATTATTCAAAATATTAGCTTCTGTTGATCAGGTATCTTAGTTAAGATGTGTTTTGACGAGTTTGTCTAAAAGGAAACGATGGTAGAAACTTTGTTTTATCTCCGTTATTAATAAAAAGAAAGTATTTCTAAATGTATTTTTAGGCAATATAGATCAAATTAGTACTTACTAAATTAGAAATATTTCGATAGGATTTATCGATAAATGCGTCGAACAATTTATTCTTTAAATCAAAATCTAAAATAAAATGTAATAATAAATGGTAACTGATAATTTAAGAAAATTTTGGATAAAGAATATTTTTTTAAACAGTTTATTTCTATTCATATATTAAAAAAATTGTCGAAAAATATCTCTTTCTAAGTTACAGCTTCGTCTATTTGTGTAACTGTGATATCATATACGCATTTATGTACACCATATAAGACAGTTGGAGACGAAAAAAAACCTTAATAATAATAACAGATACAGGTATCATAACTCGATAAAGATAACAACGAGAAAAAACCCAACCACATAAACATGAGATAAGAACAATGAAAATGCATTCGTG